AGGCAAGTCTTGTCCTCACGAACCCTGTTAATTGCCCTTAGGGGATTCATCTTATAGGGATTCATCTGCCCAACTCATTTGACTAAAATTGTTGTTGCCCCTAAACAAACCACGGCGTGTATAGTGGGGCCTTTTCAGTAGTTCTGCAGACTCACTTCCGGGTAGAAGTTAGTGTATGATGAGCAATAAATTGAAACCCGAAGCTCATGGCTTTGATTGCATAATACCTTTGCATTGATTTGGTGAGTTATTTTATCGTGAATCTTACCTTATGTGACAATAATTTAAAGTTTAGAGCAAACTACCTACCATTCTTTCAGCAAACCTCCATAAACTATTTTAAAATATTTTTTATAAGACTTAGGTGTGGGGAAAATTACTTCTTTTTAAATTATTTTCCCAATTTAATTTCAAAGGATAATCAAACTAGTAGACATTATATTCTTTTAAAAAGTTTTTTTTTTTCCCTGACTGGTGTGGTTTAGTAGATTGAGCACCCGTCTGCGAGCCTGGAGGTCGCTGGTTCAGCTCCCAGTCAGGGCCCTGTGCCTGGGCTGTGGGCCTGGTCTCCAGTTGGGGGCGCTCAGGGATAACCAATCCATGTTTCTCCCACATATCGGTGTTTCTCTCCCTCTCTTTATCCCTCCCTTCCCCTGTCTCTAAAAGTAAGTAAAGAAAATCTTTTTTAAAAAAGTTTTTTTGAAGCATCATCTCCTTTAATCCTCACAACAGCCCTGTGAGCTCAGACCTCCTAATGAGCCCCTTAATGGATGTGGAACCTGAGGCTCAGACAGGCTCCACAGCTTCTTTGAGTTCACAATGGCAGCACCTGTGATTCAAACCTAGATTTGCTTGAAAGATCAGCTTTTGAACCATTTACTATAGGTATATATAATTACCAGGTCTTACAGATCATACTATTTTTGAAGATTATTGATAAATATAAAATTCAGAGCTGATGGCTAAGTAGGTCAGAAACCTGGCTCCTTGTCTTCCTTCACTAGAGTAGAGACTACAAAGGCTAACAACATCTTTTTAAAATAATATTTTCTTAATCATGCTGTTACAGTTGTCCTGGTTTTATCCCCTTCTGCCCCCTTCCATCTGGGATCTCACTCCCTCAGGCAATCCCCTCACCACTGTTCATGTCAGGGGTTATGCATGTAAGTTCTGTGGCTACTCCATTTCCTACACTGTACTTTACATCCCAATGGCTATTCTGTGACTACCTATTTGTGCTTCTGAATCCCCTCACCTCTTCATCCATTCCCCCACACCCCTCTTCCATCTGGCAACAATAAAAATGCTCTCCGCATCCATGATTCTGTCTTTGTTCTTCTGCTTAGTTTGTTTTTTAGATTCAGTTGATGGATATGTATTTATTGCCATTTTATTGTTCATAGTTTTGATCTTCTTTTTCTTAAATACGTCCCTTTAACTTTTCATATAATAATGGCTTCATGATGATGAACTCCTTTAGTTTTTTCTTGTCTGGGAAGCTCTTTATCTGTCCTTTGATTCTAAATGACATCTTTGCTGGGTAGAGCAATCTTGGCTGTAGGTCCCTGCTTTTCAAGACTTTGAATACTTCTTGCCAGTCCCTCCTTGCCTGCAAAGTTTCTTTGGAGAAAATCAGCTGACAGTCCTCTGGAAACTCCCCTGTGGGTAACTAACTACTTTTTTCTTGCTGCTTTTAAGATTCTCTCTTTATCTTTTTAAACTTCGGCATTTTAATTATGATGTGTCTTGGAGTGGGCTTCTTTGCATCCATCTTGTTTGGGACTCTCTGTGCTTCCTGTTCCTGGACTTGCATGTCTATTTCCTTCACTAAATTAGGGAAGTCTTCTTTCACTATTTTTTCAGATAGACTTCCAGTTTCTTGTTCATTTTCTTCTCTTTCTGGTACCTCTCTGATACAAATGTTGGGCCTCTTGAAGTTGTCCCAGAGGCTGCTTAAACTATCCTCATTTTGGGGGGTTCTTTTTTTCTTCTTGTTGTTCTGATTGGTTGTTGGTTTTTTTCTTCCTTTTGTTCCAAATCATTGAGTTAAACCTCAGCTTCATACTGTTGTTTCCCTGTAAATTGTTCTTTATTTCAATTAGTGTATCCTTTCTTTCTCACTGGATCTTTTTTATGCTGCTGAGGTCCTCACTAAGTTCCTTTAGCATCCTTATAACCAGTGTTTTGAATTCTGCATCTGATAGATTGCTTATCTCCATTTTGTTTAGCTCAGGAGTGTCCAACTTATGGCCTCTGGGCCTCAAGCAGTCCAGGATGGCCATGAATGCAGCCCAACACAAAATTGTAAATTTATTTAAAACATTGTGAGATTTTTTTGTGATCACATGTCACAATGTATTTCATATGTGGCCCAAGACAATTCTTCCAGCGTGGCGCAGAGATGCCAAAAGTTTTGATGTGCCTGGTTTAGCTCTTTTTCTGGAGTTTTGGCCTATTCTTTCATTTGGGCCATGTTTCTTTGTCTCCTCATTTTATCAACCTCTCTGTGTTTGTTTCTATGTATTAGGTAAAGCTGATTTGACTCCGTGTCATTAGTATGGCCTAATGTAGTAGGTGTCCTGTAGGGTCCAGTAGAACAGCCTCCCCTATCACTCAAGCTGGGTACTCGAGGTACACCCTTCATGTGGGCTGAGTACACCCTCCTCTTGTAGTTGAGCCTTGATTGCTATTGGCAGATCAATGGGAAGAAGTTACCCAGGCCAGTCAGCTGCAAGGATTGGCTGTGACCATTTACCACCAACCTCCACCTTCCGTGGAGGATCAGCTGTGCAGGGGCAGGGTGGTGGTGCTCTGACATGATCTGTAGCTGTCCACTGGCTTTGCTGGTCCTGGCATTTCCCAGGTGGTGCAGGCCAAGGTCAGCCCCAACCTGTGTTTTGCTCGGGGCCATTATGCCTGAACTATAAAGCGATCTGAGATGGCTGCTATGTGTGCTGGGCTTGGAGATTCCTAGGTGAAGCCAAGCACTGAATCTAGGCTGGCTGCTGGCAGTACCAGGCCTGGGGCTCACTAAGGCCAGCTGTTGCTTGTGTGAGAGGATTTAGGAAGTTGTATAGTATGAGCCAAGACCAGCCATTCATATGGAAAAGTAACTTGTGTGGGCCCATAAGTTGGATGGGGCAGAGTCTCTGGGGATTTCTAAGGCGGGTCAAATAGTGTTAGCCATGTTGATGGAGTCTCAGATATGGCACCAGCTTGCTGTCTCTGTGGGGGGAGGGTTTAGAAAAGGGACAATGGCCTCTGCTCGCCTTGATACCAGACACTATTTCCTCCCTTGTGCCACTGATACTTTTCAAGCTGCTACCCCAGTGCTGGAGTTCAGAGCGAGTGAGTATGAGTAGGTGAGTCAATGTATGGGTTCTTTAAGAGGAAGTGCTTGGGACTCCAGAATTTTCTTTCACTGACTCAATCCCCACTGGTTTTTGAAGCCAGAAGTTGTGGGGACTTATCTTCCTTGCACTGGAATCCTGGGCTGGGGGGGTACTGGTGGCAGCGGCTGCAGAGGTGGCACCCTGGGGTAGGGCAGGGCTGGGAGGTCCCTCCCCACCATGTGGACCAATATTACATTCTTAAATAGCATATTCATGTAATCAAGCATATGAATTCATTAAATATGTAATTACACCTCTGTATGTACCAGCTCAGTTCTGTATTTTTTACATGTCAATATCTCCATTTTAAATCTTACAAAGTTACATAGTTATATATTTAACAAGTTATATGGAATTAGCATTGGCAGAAAATATAGGACGTATGGTTTCCACGTCTAACACAAAGGTGTACTTAATGTGATAGCAAGAATTTGATACAGGGAATAAGAGGGCAGGCTCTAATCCCAGAGCTGCCACTAAATAAATATGGAATTTAGCACAAGTCATTGAATTTCAGTGAACATCAGGTACATCTTTTGAAAAATGATGGGACTGGACAAAATGTTAAATTATTTTCAAGACCCCTTGTGATTCTGAGTTTCTGCAGAGTAGCAGGGAAAGAGTACAAGCTGAGGAACATCATCATTCACAAATCATGTTTCCCTTAGTTAAAAAGTGGCCAATATGTGATCTTCTGTATTTAGTCCACTCTGCCTGATTCTACCTCCCATATCATAGGAAACTATTAGGAAAGAAATAGATGGTTCTTTTTTTTAATTAAGAAATTAATTGTGAATTAATCCAGAAAACTTGGGAAAAAATGTAGAGGTAACACACACACACCCATGATCACATCATTCAGAAAGAATCTCGTCATTGTCCTATTACTTTTCTAAATATGTATATATGCATTTTTTAAAGCTTTTAATGAGCTTTTCAATAAAGCTTTTAATAAAGCTTTTAAAGCTTTTTAAATAAGTCTTATTTATTTTTAGAGAGGGAAGGGAGGGAGAAAGAAAGAGAGAGAAACATCAATGCGGTTGCCAGGGGCCGTGGCCTGTAACCCAGGCATGTGCCCTGACTGGGAATCGAACCTGCGATGTTTTGGTTCACAGCCCGCGCTCAATCCACTGAGCTTCGCTAGCCAGGGCTATATATGCATTTTTAAAATGGTATAACATAGTCTGCAGTCTGCCCTGGCCAGACAGCTCAGGTGGTTAGAGCATCCTCCTATACAGCAAAGCTGTTGGTTCCATCCCTGGTCAGGGCACATAGAAAAATCAACCAATGAATGCATAAATAAGTGGGACAACAAACTAATGTGTGTGTGTGTGTGTGTGTGTGTGTGTGTGTGTTTCTCTCTCCCTCTCTCCCCTTCCTTTCTCTCTCTCTAAAATCAATTTAAAAAACAACAAAACAATCTTTAGGCTGCTTTTTTCACTTCAGAGCTGTATGTAACTTTCCTACAACTGGTTGGAATACCCACAATAATATGCCCACATATCAATAAGATAGGACACAAACAAACATTGTTATATAGAGTTTGGAATAGCTATAATTCTATTATGCCCCAGGCTATTCTTACTCTTTCTATTTATCTGCTTCAGAATGGATTGGTTTCACTGTAACCGGTGTTTCCGAAAAGATGGGGCCCATTTCTTTGTCACCAGCTGCGGCCATATTTTCTGTAAGAAGTGTGTAACTCTGGGTGAGTGACTTGCCTGTTTTCAGAATTGGGCAAAGATGTTTTTAACTTGGAAATAATGATTAGCTATTTCTTTGTGCGACTTCGGGTAAAAATCAGTAGGACACAGGTGGTGTGGATAGAGTATAATACTATCGATTATGGAAATTGGAGGAATCTATTAATAAAGAATGATTTAGCAAATGGGATACCAATTACTTGAGCACCAGAAGATACTTGTCAGTGTTTTGAAGCCTGAGGTAGTGAGAAAGCCACAAGATTATCAGACTGATTAGAGAAAAGACAAAAAATAATGAGTAGGAATGGGGGAAAGTTTGGTTGATAACAAGAGCCGTATCTAAAGGGAAGTGGTCTAGCCTGTGAAATCAATTTGATTAGAAATGATGATGGTGGTGGTGGTAATGGTGGTGATATCTTTGCAGTTTAAAAAGTATTTTCGCATGTACCAATTTTATGTATTCTCACCACAGTCCCAAGAGGTAATTATCAATAGACCCACTTTACAAATGAGGAACTGGTTCAGATAGGATAAGTGATTTAACCAAATTCTTACAGCTATTAAGTCTTAGAAGTAAGACTTGAATTTAAGGTGTTGTTTTTAAATGCTAAAATAGTTACAAGGTAAGGAAGTAACTCAGAAGAGGGACTTAGGGTAAGGTACTTTGATCAGGAAAGATTTTATAGGAGAGATGTTGCTTCAATTGAGTTTTGAATAATAAATGGAGTTTGACAAGTGGATAGGCAAGTAAGATCATTCTAGTTTAAGAGAATAACATGCATAAAGTCATACCACATCATAAAACCATAGTGTAGTAGACTACTCATGGTTGAGATTTGTAGAGTGTAAAAAGTAAGGTAAGATTTTTTCCCCTCTCTTAAAAAAATAGATAAATAAAATAGTTATGCCCTGGCTGGTGTGGCTCAGTGGACTGAGCACAGGCCTGCAAACTGAAAGGTTGCAGGTTTGATTCCCAGTCAGGGCACATGCCTGGATTGCAGACCATGTCTCCAGTTGGGGGTGTTCAAGAGGCAACCGATGTATCTCCAGTATTTCTCTCCCTTTCTTTCTCCCTCCCTTCCCTTCTCTCTAAAAAAATAAATAAATAAAGTATTTAAAAAGAAAAAAAAGGTAAGATTGGTGATTTCTGAGTCTAGATAGATAGGCAGTGGCCAGATGATGAAAGGTTGTATATTCTGGGCTAGAGAACTGAACTTTATCCTGTAGGTGATGGAGAACTGTGCAAGTTCATTTGTTTTGTGTTTTTCTTAAATAAAAGAATGATTTGTACTTGCTATCTCACTCTGGCAATTATATGGAGGGAAAACTGGGAAAAACCTTTAATCCCCAAGGAAAGAAGGGTCGAGTTAGGTAGCCTCTGGAGAAGCTTTTCTCTTTGTATCAGTGATTTTCAACCCGTGCGCCACAGCACACTAGTGTGCTGCAAGAATTGTTAAAACATGCAACATCTGAGTATTTAGTAAGAAGCAGTGACTTCTTTTCCCTTGGATTGTCAAATAAAAAAATGACAACAGCCAAAACAACAATAGCAGTCCAGTATGAAAGAATCAAATTTATATTAATTTTCTTGTCAGATCAGCAAAATATATAGTTTTTGGTGTGCCGCAGGATTTTAGTAATTGCTTCATGTGTGCCATGGGATGAAAAAGGTTGAAAATCGCTGCTCTATATGAACCTCATAAACATTTAAAATGATCTGTTAATGTAACAAAGCCCTGGACAATGGTGACAGCAGCTCACTTTGGAGTGGTTTGTCTCAGTGAAGCATATACCATGTGGTATTTTCTCCTGACAAGGCATTTATCTTTTTTAAAAAGATTTTATTTATTTATTTTTAGAGAGAGGGCAAGGGAGGGAGAGAGGAAGAGAAACATCGCATCAATGTACTAACGTGCAAGAGAAATCAATCAGCTGCTTCTTGCACACCCCCAAATGGGGACCTGGCCTGCAACCCAGGCATGTGCCCTGACTGGGAATCGAGCTGTAGACCCCTTGGTTTGTGGGACGAGTCTCAACCCAGTGAGTCACACCTGTCAGGGCCTGGCAAAGCATTTATCTTAATAACTGGCACCACTGCTCAGATTTCAACTTACAAGGAAAAATTGGGAATTTTAATTTTCTCATCCTTCAGAAAGAGTTAATTAGAGAATGAGAGTAGGAGATCTGGGAAACAAGATGTAGGAATATTAGCAAAGTGAAAACAGGGCAGGAATAATTGGGGAGTTTCTTACAGTATGTAATGTGTACCTACTGTCAGGGAGGTGGGATAATAAAGAGTAACTTGAAATTGACATCATCAGTACTCTTGTACTCTTCCTAGTACTCTTGTAGATGTACTCCAGTACTCCTGCTGGGTCATTAGAACTGGCCCTCGCCCACAGAAGAAAACTGGGAATTTGTAAACAGGGAGATGGGTAGAGGTACAGTGTGAAAATCTTACTTGTCATCAACACACAAGTTTGGAAATGCTGATTTAGAGAACAGAGCTCAAGTTGATGTCTTTTTATAGCAAATTGTATTCTAAATTTTTTTCTTCTCTTGCTAGCCTTCTTGGCTGTTACCATGTACTTTAGGAAAATCTTACTTCATATCCATGAAAACCAAACATTGTCCCCTTTTCTCCCCTAGAAAAATGTCCTGTTTGTGGAACTGCCTGCAAGCATTTGGCTCTTTCTGATAATGTAAGTTTTTCTCTCTCCCTCCTACCCCTGCAACCATTTTATTCCATTCCTGGCCTGTAGAAGCATATAAAGAGGATAACTGATAAGTGACTAAGCACTGAAATTTAAGGGAGGAAGAAAAGAAAGAAGAGACTTCCGGTAAGATGGAGGCATAGGTGGACGCCCCGTACCTCCTCGCACAACCAAGATTGGAGCAACAACAATTTAGAGGCAGAATAACACCCAGAACTGATAGAGAATTTATCTGAATGGAAGTCGGACAGCCAAGAAGTTGAAGTGGACCCATTCATCCAGACCGGTAGGAGGGGCGGAGACAAGCTCGCTTGTCGCAGTGTGTGGAGTTCGGGGAGAGCTGGGCGCCTAAAGCAACCAGGAGCGAGTAAGCCATCCGGGGCACGCAGCGGGTAGACCCTGAGTACACAAGCATCAACTGGCGGACCCAGTGAGGCTGCGATTGTGGACCAGGGCAGAGCGCGCAGCCCAGGATCCCAGGGAAGGGACTGAGATCCCAGGAGAGTGGGGCTGCCGCCATTGTTCCCTCCTGCCCCTGCCCCCACATACAACGTCACAACCTAGCGACTGGGGTGCCCAGCCCTGGTGAACACCTAAAGCTCCGCCCCTCACTGTAACAAGAGCAACCAGACCGGGGAAAAAAAAGAGCGAGCGATGGCTCAAATAGAAGAACAAATCAGTGCCCCAGAACTCACCCTTTTGAGCGGCCAAGAAATAGCTAACCTATCAGATGCACAGTTCAAAACACTGGTGATCAGGAAGCTCACAGAATTGGTTGATTTTGGGTGCAAATTACATGAAAAAATGCAGGTTACCATAAAAGAGATGAAGGAAGATGCACAGAGAACCAACAGTGATGACAAGGAAACTGGGACTCAAAGCAACAGAATGGACCAGAAGGAAGAAAAAAGAAACCAAACAGGAAATAATGAAGAAACAAGAATTCAGAAAAATGAGGAGAAGCTGAGGAACCTCCAGGACATCTTTAAACGTCCCAACATCCGAATTATAGGGGTACTAGAAGGGGAAGAGGTAGAGCAACAGATTGAAAATGTATTTGAAGAAATAATAAAGGAGAACTTCCCCATTCTGGCAAAGGAAATAGACTACCAGGAAATACAGGAAGCTCAGAGAGCCCCAAAGAAGTTGGACCCAAGAAGAAACACACCAAGACACATCATAATTACATTAGCCAAGGTAAAAATGAAGGAGAGAATCCTAGAAGCAGCAAGAGATAAGGGGACAGTAACCTACAAAGGAGTTCCCATCAGACTGTCAGCTGATTTCTCAAAAGGGACCTTACAGGCAAGAAGGGGCTGGAAAGAAATATTCCAAGTCATGAAAGACAAGGACCTATATCCCAGATTACTCAATCCAGCAAAGCTTTCATTTAGAATGGAAGGGCAGATAAAGTGCTTCTCAGATAAGGTCAAGTTAAAGGAGTTCATCATCGCCAAGCCCTTGTTTTATGAAATGTTAAAAGGACTTATCTAAGAAAAGAAGATACAGAAAAAACATGTATAGTAAAAGGACAGCAAACTCACAATTATTAACAACCACACCTAAAGCAAAACCAAAAGAAACTAAGCAAACAACTAGAACAGGAACAGAACCACAGAAATGGAGATTACATGGAGGGTTAGCAACAGGGGAGTGGGAGGAGGAGAGACGGGGAAAAGGTACAGAGAATAAGTAGCATAGATTTGTAGGTTGAAAGTAGATAGGGGGAGGGTAAGGATAGTATGGGAAATGTAGAAGCTAAAGAACTTGTAAGTATGACACATGGACATGAACTAAAGGGGGGAATGTGGGTGGGAGAGGGTGTATAGGGTGGAGGGGAGTGAAGGGGGAAAATGGGACAACTGTAATAGCATAATCAATAAAATATATTTTAAAAAATGGGAAAAAAAAAGAAAAGAAAGAAGAGAAAAAAGGAAAGAAAGGACTCGCTGATAGCAATTGTAAAAAAAAAAAAATAGAGTAAACAACAGATAGGAGAATTATTTGTGGCTGCTGTTACAGAAGCCCAGGGTTAGGATAATAAGGATAGTATAGTCTGCAGCTCCTAGAGCAGTGGTGATCGCTCTGCTCTCTCAGCACAAGCAAGTAGAACCAGGTGCTTTGGAAGGGGTGGTACATCCTTTGCCATATTGGGGAGTATTTTATTTCATTCCATCAGTGAAATTCTTAGGAAAGTATCCCTTTCCTAAATGTGGATATACTCAATGTTTCTGTTACTCTCTTCATAGCTGAAACCTCAGGAAAAGATGTACTTCAAAAGCCCCGTGGAGACAGCTTTGCAGCATTTTAGTCACATCTCTCAGGTATGAGAAGCAAAAGTGAAAAAACTCTGATTCTCCAGGCAAGTTGAAACTGCATCTTATTTCTTTACCAAAGGTTCTATTTAGACTGCACATACACAGTGGACAGAATGGACTTCTCAGTTTGCTCTTTTCACTGATGATATAAAACTCAAAAGTTAACTTTTTTTCTCACTAAAAAAGTTAATAATTTTATGCAGGAACCACATAAAATTTAGTTTTAGTGTTTAACATTTAATAGCACAACTAACCAAGATCCAGGATGGGAAGTTACCATGTTCAAGAAACTGGGGGTGGGGGGAATCACTCTCTCAACTAACTACATAGAGTGTGATAAGAAGAGCACACACTTTACAATATAAAACCTGCCTGTGCATAGTAATTAGTGGCCAAAAGTCATTTTGTCTTTTTTTGGCTTATAAAAACAATGTTCCAGATTTTGGTGTAAATTAGCAACCTTCAGCTCTTCTGTGTAGCAGGCGTTTTGTTTCCACCTTCCACCTCCCTCCCAGCCTGTGTCATGAGGTCTGCGGTGTTTTTCTCCAGGAGCATCAATGCAACTACTCTCACCGCCATTTCTTCCAGTGATCTGGCCAGACATGGTTGAAATGTATCTTGCATCTGTTGCAGGAGTGTCTGCACCACTGAGGTGAGATCCTGCATGGTCTTGGGGTCCGTGTTGACCATATCCTCAGTTTCCAGCTTAGCAGTTAACTTTTCTCAACAGTTAACTTTTTACTGACCCAGAGTCTGTGAAAGGCTGTAAAAACCATTATGTATCTGACATCTTGCCTTGTACTTCCTAGTTCTGTTAAGTAATTTATAAGAATAAAGGAAGTTCTAGGGAGCTTTATTATTTTTCTGTGCAGATTAATGAATCTTTTAAAAATTGATTTGAATACAAGGTCTGGCAGAAGTAACGTGCTTGACAGTGTGAGGTTGGTAGGGCAATAATATAGGTGTAATCATTTATAGTTTTAATTTGAACATTTCACCTGAAATGTTATGTGATGTGCTTGAGTGTGATATTATTATGTTACAGAGTTACATGCTTATGACTTTGTAATAAAAAGGGGCATTATTTGTGCCAAACCCTATATATAAGCCTGACCCTGCAAACAATGAAGTTAGTGGTCTCTCAACCTTTTGCTTAAAGTTCAAGAATGGATTTCTTGTTTCCCATTCTCACTTTTCAATAATATTTCTTAGTAATGCATATAGATTTAATTTTTCATTTAGTATTCATAATTGGTCACCTGAATTTTAGAGAAATATTTTTCTTTTCCTGGTGCATCATCATGTGTTGACATACCATTGACTTGGCCAGGAGCAATAGGAATGTAGAAACACATACACGACAGAAGACAGGACAACTGTTTGAGAGAGCTCCCAAGTTGTAAAGGCTTTGGTCTTTCCCTTCCACTCCAGTTCTCCCCTGAGATTATTTCACAGTCTCAGTGGATTCCTATCTTGGCGTGTTTCTGGAGGTTTTTATTGCTGTTCTCCTTCTACTCTCACTTCTCATTCTTAGGAAAGTATCCCTTTCCTAAATGTGAAGAGGAGCCTTAGTCATCTTCTGGCTGAATATGGTAGATTTAATTTTAATTTGGTTTCACTCCTCAATGCTGACTCTGGTGATAGAGGAAGGGGAATTGAGACTTTGGCTGCATCCTGCCTTTAGCTGCTGGGGTGAAACATCATATTTTAGGTACTATTTAACATTATGGGGAGATAAAATCCAGCTGAGGCTGAAGGAAAAATGTAAACAAGGTCACATGAACAAGAGAAGGAGCAGACCTTTGGTTAATAACTAAACCCAGGATTAGTTAATTATTAATAGAGAAATTATACAGTCTGAATCAACCTACCTAATCATGGGACCAATTATACATGGTTAAATAATCAAGATAAAAAAGTGGAAAGGGTCAGTTAATCATCACTTTAGAAAAGGGCTAGTTTGATGAAGTCAGCAATGTCTGAAAATGTGTTTTCCTAATCTGTGGAGTTGAATAGCTGATCCAAGTAACACCTAGGCTGCCTCATTCAGGCTTCTGCTCAAATTTTCCTTTCTCAGTCAAACCTTTTCTGACTCTCCTATCTCAGATAATAGCCTCAACACTCTCTACTTGTCTTGCTTTATTTTTCATCATAGCTCTTATCTCTAACATTCTGTATTTGTTTAGTGCCTGAATCTGGCACTGAAATGTAGTAAAGTCCACAAAGGCAGAGATTTGGTTGGTTTGCTTATTGTTATATACATAGCTCTTCAGAGGTTATAATATGTAGTAGATACTCAAAAAATGTGGAATAAATGAATGAGTATTGATCTAAATATCCATTTATGTTTTAATCATCTTCAATCTCTGTAATGACTTAACAAGGTCATTTTTCTGCTGTTCTATTCTGTGGCCAATAGTTGATTAAGCTGCTCATTTGAATTCTTTACTCACCTCTAGATAAAACTATCTAACCAGCCCTGGCTGATAAGGCTCATTAGGTTGAGTGCCAGCCTGTGAACCAAAAGGTCACTGGTTCAATTCCCAGTCAAGGCACATGCCTGGGTTGCAGACCAGGTCCCTGGTTAGGGGTATGCAAGAGGCAAATGATTAATGTTTCTCTCACACATGATGTTCCTCTCTCTCTGTCTTTCTCCCTCACTTCCCATCTCTCTAAACAAACAAACAAAAATGATCCATCTGTATTTAGGGATTGGAGAGCTCCATATGGATCTTTTAGCTTTCTTCCTTTCCAAGGTCATAGACTGCATGCACGCACTCTTATCCACAACTAGCCATATTTCAAATGCATGCCAGTAATTGTTCCTTCTTTGTTAACGCCTTCTTTGATTCCTGTAGGCATATTTTTACTCATTCCTTTGTCCCACCTTGCTCTTAACTCTGCAAAGGTGTTCTGATTTTTTTGTTCATGTGTCTTTTTCTCTCACTGGACTGAAACTTTGAAAGGCAGGTAACATATTTGTATTGCCCACTGCCTAACTAGGTACCTGGAACAAATTAGGTACAGAAGAAATGTTTGTTAAATGAATGAATGCACATGTAAGGCTGTAAGGGTGGGAGAGAGGAATAATTCAAGGTAAGGTCAGAAAAAGAGGCTTATAGTATAGGGACTTGGAGGCCATGGTAAGGACTTTAGAGTTTCCTCTAAATGTAGTAGGTTTTAAGCAAGGAAATGGCGTTATCTGATATATAATTTTCAAAGAGAATTTGGCTGCTGAATGGAGAACGGACCAGAGAGAAGTTAAAAGTAGAAGCAAGAAGACCAGTTATGAGACTATGGGAGAAAACTAAGCAAGAATGCTTGGGCCAATGTGGTGGCAACATAAATGGAGAAGGGTAGTTAATATGAGATATGTTTTCTAGGAAGAACTAGTAGAACAGCTGTGGAAGGAGAGCTGTGGAAAATGAAAAAAAGAGAAGCATCAAGCAAGATGTCTGGGTTTTTGTCTTAAACAGTTAAGTGGGATGACTGTACCCTTTACCAAGACTAAGAAGACCATTTTGGGGGAATGCCATTTTGGATGTTATTAGGTTAAAATGCTTGTTAGAAATCCAGGAGGAGAAATCACAAAGGCAGATAAATTTACTATTCTGTAGCTCAGGACATAGGTTAGAAATAGAGATATAGGTATGGAACTCATCAGGATATAGTTTGTAAAGCCTTGGGACTAGATGAGATTACCCAGGAAAGAGTCCCTTTGATGTCTAATGATTAGGTAGAGGAGAAGTTAGCAAAGAGCAGCAAAGAGAGAGAGGGGGAAACAGGAGAGTGTGGTATGACAGAAATGAAGAAAGGAAATGTTTCAAGAAGGAAGAAATAACCAGCTGGGTCAAATACTACTGAGAGATGAAGATGAAAGCAAAGGAAGGCTAACTGGATTTGGTAACATGAGGATTGGTGGTGACCCTCACAAGAGCATGTTGAGTAGAGTCCTGAGAAAGAGGATGGCATTGGAGTGCAGTGATGGGCGTGTGTCTATACTCAGTCGTCTTCACCTCCCAAACTTTTCCTCAACCCTTAGCAGCCTGGCTTCAGATTGTCTCACTAAAACTGATCTTGCAAGAACATTAACAGCCTCCTTGATATCAATTCCAATGGAATCTTTTTGTTGTTGTTCTTACTGCTTTTGATTTCTCAGCAGTATTTGAGGCCCACTCTCTACTCCTTGAACTATTTTTTCTTCGACTACCATCACCAATTTCTGTTTTCTGTTTGCGCTCCTCTTCCTCTATCTCTTAAGTAGTTATATTTCTCAGAGTTCTATACTAGATACTTTCTTTATTTTTTTATACTCTACATGGGTAATCTCATCTACTCCCATGCTTCAGTTATCATCAACATATGGATGATTTCCAAATCTATTATCTCCAGTAAATATCTCAAATGCCACCTCAGAGGAGCCTTCACTGATCACTAGTACTAAATTAGTTCTCCCCCTTTACTGTCTGTCATAGCAACCTTTTTGTTTGCTTAATTACACTTGGGTAATATGCATTTTTAGTATTATTTATTATATCATTTATTATATATTTTTGTATCATTTATTATAAGTTTATTATCTGCTCCATAGATTGTAAGCTGCATAGAGGCAGAGACTAACTTTGTTTTGTTCATTTTTGTATCCCCAGCAATGATTTTTTAAAAGATTTTAATTCTTTATTTTTAGAGCGAGGAAGGGAGGGAGAAAGAGAGAGAGAGAAACATTAATGTGTGGTTGCCTCTCACCTGACCCCCCACTGGAGACCTGGCCTGCAACCCAGGCATGTGCCCTGACTGCGAATCAAACCAGCGGCCCTTTGGTTTGCAGCCCAGTGCTCAATCCACTGAGCTATGTCAGCCAGGGACAGTGATTTTTTTTTTTTTTTTTTTTTTGCCACATAAGAAGCATTCGATAAAACTTTGCTAAATGATTGAGAGTGCTCTCTCTTTCTTCAGAGATATATATTCATTTGCCAATTTGATATTGTCACTAATTCAACATGTCC